AGTACTCTGCCATACAATAGGATACAGGCAGCGTTGCCTGCAAGAAAACAAACTGACGGAAAAAGAAGATCTTGAAGGCAGCAATGTTCGAAAGGAAAGAAACAGAAATAACAGGCATGAAAAACATGAAACATCAGTCTAACATCGTTTCCGCTGTTAGACTTTTAGACAGTTACTAAGTGTATGCTTCTTTAACTCGCGTGCGTCTTTCCAAAAATGGCATAACGAAGCGCAATGTTAAGCAGATGGGTTGTTTCCGGAAGATATTTCAGATGGAATAAGGCATTAGTTTGAAAATAAATTTCATAATAATTTATTTAAAAACACGCATTTTCATTCAGTGCCTGTTTGCTGGTTTCAAAAGACAAAGACAGAAAATTGACATTGATTTCTGTCCCTGCAGAAGCCGTTTCCTAAGTCATTTTTCCTGCAGTAAAATCTATTTAACATAAACTAATCATTATTTGCTTGTAAACGAAATAAAATAACTGCCTTTCTTTCATTTATTCTTTGATGCTAAAGGAATTTCGTTTTCATGTTTATCTAATAGGTAAATCTGTTTAGTGTTTAGGTATATAACAGTAAACAAATGTCCATAATTCATAACGCAAGACTACTGCAGACCAGATTTCACTAAATACAGTAATTGCAATTCGCACGACACTGTACACGAACCTACAAATCTGATTTTACAAAATTAGGTACTTCAAGAAATTAGAACGTCGTTTTTGTGATACTGCACTTATATCTGATTCCTCTGTTGTTTTTAGCTTATTTTAATCTCATTTCGCACTTCATGTATGATTCTGTTGTGGTATCGGTGATTGATTAAACCTATAACTGTGTGTAAATTGTATTTGGCAATTTTATCGCATTTAAGTGTTGCTGATTCAATGCCAATAGACGAAAAGTTACGAGATCTTGTCAACGGTAAACCTTCCGGTAATCTAGATGAAAATATTTGCCAGAAAGTGTCATCTCTTTTGTTGGAAAATATAAAGGTACTTAGTTTGCCATTTCGATTGCTGTTTTTGATGACTAATTTCGCGCCAGTTTCTGGCAGCTGATAACAATTTGGAGGTTGCTAGACACAACTTGAAAACAAAGTATATCCTCATATACTCGGCTGCGAATCAAAATAGTAACGTTACGCCACATGGTGCAGATGGCCCCCACGAGGAGGTCGAGTTAAAGACAGGTAAGCATTGAACTGTGTCAAACGGTGTCTGGTCACGGACGTGCTGTATTGTTCTACTAGAATGCCAGACCATGTCTTTGCCTACTCCGCTGTTCGAAATCTTTCCCGCAGAAAAGGTTCAGCTGTCGTGGAGGGCGG